ATAATAATTTTTAATAAATATATTATATATTATATTTAATTAAAATATACACCAATTAATCTCCTTATAGAATATACTCAATCTTGCGCCACTCCATATTAAACAGCCGTCGGCTGGATACAGTAAACAAAAACGCGAGAGAATTCTTCTTTGCCAACTTTAAAAGAATAGAAAACTCTGTAGATCATGTCATCATGATAAATCATGCTACTAATAATTGGTAAGAATCCTTATATCATGTAAATAGCATACGAATCAGCAGAGAAACCAAATTTATTAGCTATTCAAAGACGATTGCTTGAAGGTCCATATGTGAAATTTTTTACCACTTTCTTTCTCTACCATTATTTGTGACCAAATTGCTAACGTTGTCACATGTGCGGAAGGCAGACAAGACACAGCCTCTTTTCCTTTGGAATGGGATGGCAATTTTCTCAGCGACTTGCGGAGTTCCGTGGAGATCCCCGCTACGGGAATGAAGATTCCAAAAATATTCTTACCCATGAAGTGAGGATAGAGGCAATTTTTTACCCGTGAAATTTCGCGGGAAATTTCCTCCACCCCATGGGGATCCGTATAAAAAAAATTTATTTATATATATATATTTTGTACATCTGTTAATAATTAATTTTTATTTACCCAATTTAATTTTTTTATTGAAATTTACCCAATTTAATTAGTTAACCCAATACCAACATAACTTAAATTTCATAATCCACTCTTTTTTCAATTTTTCTAAACCCAATTGTCGGCCCAATCTAATTTTTTTTGTTAATCTAATATTCTTAAACCTAATTACCCAGCCCAATTTATAGCCCAATTTACAGTCCAATTTAGAGCCCAATTACAGAACCCTACAAGCAAAAGGAAATCCAATATACATAACCGGCTAACCCTAGATGCAGAAGGAAATCCAATTGCCGCTTCTTGCAAATTGCTATCCCACCCTACTCCAGTCAGTCTCTTCTCCTCTGCTGCGCCACTCACCACTGCTCACACCGCTCAGCTCCAGCTCTAGCTCCAGCTTTTGTTTGTTTATTTGTCTGTTTGTCATCTTCTATCTTTCATTTTCGCTTCTCTTTTTTTTCTTTAATTTCTATACTTCAGTTTGAGCATCAGCATGCATCAGTTAGCTGTCACATATGTCCCATTACATTGCACAGATGGGTACCGTATGCCTATGTGCATTTGATATTAAAATTTTTCATTTGGTGGTTTTGCAGCATTCGATTTTTTCAAGCAGCAACAGCTCCCAACTTGTAAACCTGTCTTGACACCAGCGTGGGTGAGTGCTTGCGATCTTTTGATTTGGTAAACTTGTTTTGATTTGGTGGTTTTGCAGCTTTCGATCTTTTTATTTTTTTATGCTTTAGTGTTTAACTAGTAATTTTCATGTTTTTAATTAGTAATTTTTAATTTA